GCTGACGGCGGCGCGGGAGGCGGCGGCGGAGGGGGAGCGGCGGCGGCGGGCAGAGGGCGAGGCGGAGCGGGCGGCGGCGGCGGCGGCGGCGGCGCACGCTGCTCTGCAGGAGCAGGCGTGCGCCCGAGATTACCCGAGACTACCCGAGATTACCCGCGATTGTCCGAGATTGCCCGAGGTTGCCCGAGGTTGCCCGAGGTTGCCCGAGATTGCCCGAGATTGCCCGAGATGACGCTGCTCCTGAGGGGTGCGTGCGGCTGTTGCGGCGTCGGGACTTGTGCTTAGACGCTCGCCCGACCTCGGCCTGTCCTGCCCCTCGCCCCTGCAGGTGCGAGGGCTCGAGGCGACGCTAGCTTCTCAGTCGGCGACCTCTCGCCGCCATGACGCGTGGCGGCGTGTCGCCGACGTGACATCGTGACGCGTCCACGACGCATCCCGCCCAGGCGCTGCTGGAGGAGCAGGCCGCAGTCGACAGCGAGCTGCAGCTGAGGGCGGTGCAGCGCGAGGCGGAGGCGGCGGTGGAGGCGGCCGCGGCGCGCGCCGCCGCCTCCGCGGCCGAGGCGGAGGCGGCGCGAGCGGAGGCGGCGGCGGCGACGGCGGCGGCCGCGCGCGCGGGAAGCTGTCGACAGGACATGTCCGTGACACGTCCGGGACACGCCCCGTGTAGGCGGCGGCCGCGTGCGGGCGGGACGAGGCGGTGGCGCTGAGGGCGCAGCTGGCGGCGGTGGGGGGCGGGCTGGGCGAGGCGTGCTGTCCAGGACATATGTCCCGGACACGTCCGGGACATGTCCCGTGTAGGTGGGGGGCAGGCTGGCCGAGGCGTGCGCCGTCGCCGCCGACGCCAACGCGGCGCGGCACGCGGCTGAGGTCGAGAGTAGCACGAGATTGGCACGAGATTGGCTCGAGCTTAGCCGAGAGTAGCACGAGATTGGCTCGAGCTTAGCCGAGAGTAGCACTAGATTGGCACGAGATTAGCCGAGAGTAGCACGAGAGTAGCACGAGAGGCCGAGAATAGCCGATCTTTACACGAGTTTTTGCAAGCACGACAGAGCACGAGATTGGTCGGAGAGTAGCCGAGGGTAGCCGAGCTAAGTCATGCACATGTCCATGACACGTCCGCGACATGTGCATGCACATGTACCGTGTAGGCGGCGCTGCGCGAGGCGAGGGCCGACGCTGCCGGCGCGGACATCCTTCTAGCGAGCCTCGTCGACGCCGCCACGCACCCGTCTCACGGAAACACTCGTCGGGGCTTGTTCGCAGGCGCGGCGGCTGAGCACGGCGAGGCGGAGACGGCGGCCAAGGCGAGATCGTGCCGACATCTAGCCGAGATCGTGCCGAGATCTAGCCGAGGTGTAGCCGGAGACGGCAGTGCACCCTTTGGCGTTGCTGGCTGAAGGGGGCGCCACGACACGTCCACGACATGACCGCTCGACACGTCCACGACGCGTCCACGGCACGTGCCGATAGGCGGCGGTCGCTCTGCTCGGCGACGAGACGCGGCGGCGGGGCGAGAGTCAGCCGAGATACAGCCGAGATTAGACGAGATGCAGCCGAGACTTGCCGAGACCAGCCGACGAGGCGCGGCGGCGGGGCAAAGACGAGAGGCCGTGCGGGCCTTGGCCAGGACCTGTCCATGACATGTCCGAGCCATGTCCACAGGCGAGGACGACGCGGCGGTGCGGGCGGCGGCGCGCGAGCTCGTGGCGCGGCACCAGGCGGCGGACAAAGATGCAGCCGAGATGCAGCCGAGATATAGCCGAGATGTCACAGAGGCGCTCGTGGCGCGGCACCAGGCGGCGGCCAGGGCGGCCGAGGCGGCGGCGAGCGCCGCGACGGCCGACTTGCGCGGCGCGGAGGCGGCGGCGGCCGCTGCGGTGGCGGAGGCGGAGGCGGAGGCTGGGGCGGCGCGGCGGCGGGCAGAGGGGGAGGTCGGGGAGGCGCTGGCGCTGGTGGCGGCGCGCGAAGCGGAGGCGCGGATCGCGATGGCGCGGGCGTTGGACGCAGAGGCTGCCCTCTCTGCTTGCTCGAGGGCGTGACATGAACGGCGGTCCGTTCACCGGCCGTCGCTGCGATCAGGCGGCGCTGACTTCGGAGGAGGAGGAGTGGCGGCGTTCGCTGGACGAGGCGTGGGCGCGGGCGGGAGCGGCGGAGCGGGAGGCGGAGCTCCTGCGGGAGAGGCTCGCCCGGCGGACGACAGGGCCCGCTGCCCCCGCCGATGCTGCGGGATGGGTGCGGTTTGGCGGGGGGGCGCGGCGCAGCGGAGCAGGGTAGGCTCGCAAACCAACGGTCTTTAGAGCTGCCACCACCTCCACCTCGTGCTGCGGTCGCCCACGACGACTAAGTGGCTGTGCTCGCTGTGATCTGTGAATAAGTCTGTGGCGCGATGAGCAGAAGACTTCGAAGAATTTAACAAAGACAACTCTCTCTCTCTCAGCAGACAGGCGGACGATTCCCGCCGGGAGACCGTTCCAACTTGTTATGCTTATGGCGCCCTGCCGCGGCGTACTCGGTCATCAAAGCCCAAAAGGCGCATTGGTCAGCCGCCACCCACGCACCACCGCCTTGGGAAGCACACGGAACTCGGTGGCGTTGGCCCGGTGGGTGAGGTTCTGGACGAGCGTTTCTGCCGTGGCAAGGGCGATAGCACCGTCAGCAACTGCGATCTGCTGCCTGCGCCGTGTCCCAGTGTCCTGTCCATGTGGAGAGGGGTGTGTGAGTGTAAAGCATGGCCAACGATGGCAACGACGCACCGATCTGCTGCGGCAGTCTGCTGTCCTTCGCTGGACGATCGTACTGGTGGATCAGCGCCGAGGGCGTGACCCGGTCCTCCTCCATGATGAGACCGCCCTATAGCCGAGCTACACCCTTGTTGGGCCCCGCATGCAGGCGAGATGCCCAAACCCCCTTGCATCAAGGCCATCCTCGCCCAGCCGAAGCGAGCCTTCGGTGATCAGCTTGCCAACCGTGTTGACCATCCCGCCGCGGCCACGCTCCTGGATGGTTGTCAAGTCGGCCAGTGACCAGAAGGGCGACGCCTCGCTTCGGTTGATAAGCGGCGCGGTATGCCGCAACCGGAAGAGGAGGTAGTCCATGACACCCTGATCGATACATCCCGACTGGGAGCGCCACTTGAGGGTGTGCATCCGCTCATGGAACGTAGCGTTCATCTGCGCGCCCAGCGTGCTGAGCCCCCACGGCGTGCCGGCGATGGTCCCAGCGCAGATGATCGTCTCATTCTTCATCCTCCGCAGGGCCATGTGCCCAAAGCAGCGCTTGATCCACTGGCCCGTGTGCCCAGACTGGCCATAGGTCTGCGCCTCGCCGAAGAGGACGAGGTCAGAGCCGCGCGGGTAGCGCGCCATCGGGTCCGCTTGGAAGTAGATGTCGCGAAAGTCCGCAATCAGGCAGTGGCAGTGCCCTCCCCGCCGGCATTCGCCCGCAGCAAGCCACGGCCGCTGGATCCAAACGTAGAGGTTCCGCCGCTTCCCCTGGGCCTCCCTTTCATCGCCAAGGAGTGGCTCCATCGGCTTGTGGCGAGCACCATAGCGCGCCCACGCCGCCTGGAGCTCCGCGTCCGTCCTCCACGCGTCCCCGCCCACAAAGATAGTGATCGCTCCTTTGTAACCGGCCAGCCGGAGTGTCCCCATGAAGCGGTGCGACGCCTCCGCCGTGAGTTGGTGGCCGTAGGCAAAGGTTGTGACAAGTGGGGGAGTCCGGGACGCCTCGCAGGAGGCGGCCGCGGCGAACCCCTGTAACGGCGGGAATTTAGTGAGGGGCAGCCACGCGTTGGCATCTGGCATAACCTCGCGAGAGGGATGGCGCAGCCCCGCGCAACTGAGTGCAGGGACAGATGCTGCCGCGTCGGCCGGCACCGAGCAGTGCGGTTGCTGTGCGGCTGCGAGGTGGCTGCAATGCCGATGTGAGAGCGTCCGTCCCCGTCGTGGGCAATTGTTGCGCGACGATGACGTATTTTCTTTTATTGGGCTCCAGCTCGGTATACGCTTGCCGGCCGCCGCTGCCGGGGGGCAACTCCGTGCACTGACGGTCGGCCGCCAGAAAACACGCCTGCGTGGATCGCGTCACACCAATCCTCGCTACCCAACGCGGCCAAAGGATATCCACCTCGAGAACCTCGAGAACCTCGAGAGACACTCATGGCGCTGTGCGCTGGTCTTCACACCGACAACTTAGGCCACGGTCTTTGTGACGTATATGCTGCCGCCATCGCTGCCGCCCGCCGAGTGTCCACCCGGCAGTGCTGCGTCAGAGTACTGTGGCAGCGCAGAGGGCGGCGCCTACGTCTTCTCAATCTTTGGCCTGTGCGGCCCGCGGCACCAGGCGCAGCTGCTCACGGCGGCTCGGCTGCTTCAGCAGACTCAGCCCGCCTTTCCGCTCGCGGCGATGCTGTCGCCGACGTGCCACCGCAACGCCACGTTCCGCGCGATCCTGGTCGGCGAGTCGGTCACGCCACTCTGCGTGCAGCGCTTCGCAAACGTGCGCTGCCGCGGCGACAAGCAGCTGCGGGACGAGGGGAGGAGCGACTACCTTGGGTACTCCACCTTTGACGAGCACTGGACCAAGCTCAACGTGCTCAATCTGACGGGACTGCGCGGCGCGCTCCATGTTTCTCCGGGCGTGGTTCCTCACCCCAGGATTGACTCCAAGTCTTAACACTGGCCACAGGCGCGCTCTACCTCGACTCAGACGTTGTGGTGCGACGAAACCTAGACCTGTAGCGTCTCGGAGAATCTCGGGGGGGAGTGAGAATCTCGTCCAGGTGCGGCGAAACCTAGACCACGTCCTCCGATCGCTGCTCTCGTCGCCGCACCTCTCGGAGATCCGCACGCCGCAGGGACGGTTCCTAGACACCTCCTAGACACTTCCTAGACACTTCCTAGACACTTCGGTTCCGCGATTCTTCCCGAGACCTCTCCTCCTCCGATGAGTGAGTCGAACGGGGTCAAGTAGGCTGCCTCCAGGCCGAGCTCGCCCATCGCTTCTTCAACACCGGTGATTCCGCGGCCCGGCCCGACGCGCCCCGCCGTCGGCCTAATTCGTCAGAGATGGATTTCCTTCATTAGGTGTGTGGGCGGTCCGGCCCGACGCGACCGTCTTCGGCGCCTTGGTGCGCCTAGGAGCCCTCTAGGAACCTTCTAGGAACCTTCTAGGAACCTTCCGGGAACCTTCCGGGAACGTCTTCGGCGCCTTGGTGCGCCGGCTACTCGCGGGCCGCTCCTAAGTCACTAGTTCAGCGCTTCACTGGAAGATCTGACTGACTGACTGCGCTTCACCGAACTTTTTCCTTAGGTGCGCTGGCTGCTCGCGGGTCATTCAGCGTGCTGGGACGGCGACCAGAGCGCGGCGTGGGCTTCAGCATGAGACAGCGCTGATGCCGACACGAGTCGTGCTACCAACAGGCGACCAGAGCGCGGCGATGGGCTTCCTCCATGTCGGAGGGCCGGGCAGGCGAGCACCTTCCGAGGCACTTCCGAGACACCTCTGAGACACCCCCGAGGCACTTCCGAGACACTTCTGAGGCACTGCTGAGACACTTCTGAGGCACTTCCGAGACACTTCCGAGACACTTCCGAGGCACTTCTGAGACACTTCCGAGACACTTCTGAGGCACTGCTGAGACACTTCTGAGGCACTTCCGAGACACTTCTGAGGCACTTCCGAGGCACTTCCGAGGCACCTCCGAGGCACCTCCGAGGCACCTCCGAGGCACTTCCGAGGCACTTTCGAGGTACTTCCGAGGCACTTCGGAGACACCTCCGTCGGCGGGCCGCGCAGGGTCCAGAGAGCGAACGTGTCGCTGCTGCACGCTGGCTACAACCTCAAGGCGGACCAGGGGCCGGCGAGACATGACCCGCGGCGGCGGCGGCTCGGCGAGGCGTTGCCCACGCCTCACGGGACGGGTCGCTTGCGGACTAGGCGAGCTGTTTGGGGAAGCTGCATCTCAACGAGAGCGAGGTGCACGCGGTGCACTTCTCGGGCAACGAGAAGCCCTTCGTGAGCAGGAGGGGCAAGGACCCGCTCTGGCACATGGCGCGCAACGCCTACATCGGCGCCTTCTCGCACTGGGCGGCGCGGATTGGCGGACTGAGCGTGTGCGTTGGCCCGCGGCAGAGCCACGCGAAGGGCTGTTACGAGCCGGCGGCGAACGAGAGCGCGTGGTCGCGCCGGACAGACACTGCGAGGAAGAGGTCGTGGTCGTGACGCGGTCTCTCGTCTGTACGCGCGCTAGTCTGGAGTCTGCCTTGGCTGACAGTATGGAGTCGGGGGCTTGCCGGTTGATGGCAGTTAGCCGAACATCCGCGATGCCCCCCAAAATATGTTTATACTACCTCGGCGCTCACGGACTAGGTCCAGCCCTGCCAAGCGGGGTGGCACGGGTTGTGACATTTGGCGATTCCGCGGCTTACGGCTTTACTGGCCCCTGAGCCGCTCCCCGTGTGCGATTCTTGTGGCCCAGGCATGGGGTACTGTCTACTGATAGTAAACGGTTCAGAAAGCTAGGCGACGCAGGTCCATCAGCAGGGCTCATCCAATGCGAGCGCACATTGTGCGTAGCCGCGGGCAGGTGGCAGTGCACAGCCGCACACCGGCTGTGGCGGCTCGAATGCCCCCGGCAGCAATGCTGGTCATTAACTTGCGTATTGGGGCCGCAGCAGACTGCTGCTGTGGCAGCAGCAGCAACCTGCTGCTGCCTGATTCAGTCAAGCCAGCGGTGCAGCGAGGCGTGCAGAATTCGCGCGGTTTGGTACCTCCTGAGGCTGAGCGCGTTCAGACCCGGTGACCGGAGTTGGATGGTTCGATGGACCTCGCCGAGGCAGCTCCATCGAACCATCCATGGCCGGACGGCGGAGCGTGAGGTGGCGAGCGGAGAGATGTACCGCGCAAGACAAGAAAAACAAGGATCCTATGGATGTCACTGGTGCCGCTGCTTGGCCGCCGCGCTCGCACTCGCTCCTCTCAATGACATCTCGTGAGGCCGCAACGGTCTGCGAGATCCTTTCGCCCAGCGCGTCCACCACAGAGTTCTCCCAGTCATGTGCCCAAATGCGCCCGCCGTTTTTCGTCGTACCCCCCCTCGAAACCCGCCGACTTTGATGGGGTCCGGTTCAACCTCACTCTCATCTTATCTATTACAGACACAAAACGTCAGATCTGTGCCACCCTGGGCTGGACCTAGTCCGCGGGGGCTGCGGCATCGGAGTCTTTCACCGGTGTCTCGCGTGTCTCGCGTGTCCGGCCAGGGGCGTTAATCAAAAACCTAAATTTCGATCGCGCCAGTGCCTTGCTTCCATTCTGTGACACCTCCAAGGTTGTTGTCATGTGTCAAATCTGGCATCCGCTCACCGATCAGGCATCAGCGCTCGGCTTTTGAGACTTTTTGTTCATCAGTTCATGTGAGACTGAGAGACAAACGACAGGAAGTGACGGCGTCGGAAGGATCATGGCGCAAGCACAAGGGTCCGATTTCGCTCAAAGTTGGCCTTGAATTTTCTTACGTCGGCGCAGTCGAAGCGCCACACCTGGCGCGGCGTCGAGTCCGCGTAGACGGGCGCCGGGGTGCTCTCGACGTGCACCTGATCGGGCGAAAGGAGGAGAGAAGCTGCGTCTACCGCCAAGCAGGAGCATTGGCTGCGGCTGCGGCTGTACCGAGGAGCAGATGCACGTGCGGCGCAGGAGCGTCTTGTTGTAGCAGCGGCGAGTGAAGCGCCGCGGCGGCGGGCTGCCGCTGGCGTCGCAAGGATGGATTGAAATACATTCGAACAAAGAATTTAAACAAAACAAACAAAGAAGAGGCGACGGGAGGAACCGGCAGAGGATGCAGTGACGTGACACCCCCCCCACCTCACACACACACACACACACACACACACACACACACACACACACACACACACACACACCGCTCACCCACGCGCACACTGGGCCTTTTGCACTTTGAATGCCATGGGGCTCCTGTCGTCAGCCGTGGAGACGCGAGGGTTGCCCCCCCTTGCCACGCCAGCGTGTGTGTGTGGAGAAATTACCTTACCTTACTTACCTTAGTGTGAGACGATCAGGCGACGAAGATCTACGTCCGTAAGCTTCACGCGCTTCACCGCAAACACACCTGGCCATGTGCCATTCCTCACGGCCTCCACATGCCACGGCTTGATGACGAGCTTCACCGCAACAGAAGAGGACTTGTAATACCAGTCCATGTACGTAATTGCGTGTGTAATGTGTGCGCTTCGAAGCGAGTTCATCACAAAAGATGGGAGATATATCTCTGCGGGTGGTGCTTTGAGTAGAGTCTGGTTGAAACCAACGTTCGAGCGCAGTCCAACGGACAGCTCTTGGAGGAGTGCTGTCGAATAAAAGGAGCCATCTGCCTGCCCATAGTAGCAATTGCCCCCCCCATGCTTCGGTGTCCTGGCGAGGAGATGCCTCATGAGCGGGTCATGCATGCAGACGGCCGCTTCCGTAAAGTGCGGTTTGCAATTTTTGCCAAGTGGCTCCGGTCTCCCTGTTCCTTGGCTCGAGCGCTGCTGACATCCCCATCGAGGGATGTTAGACATACCAGCACTGAAGTGGCGCACGTGCTGGTCTAGACCATGCCGTACCAGCCTCTCATTCTCGGTCATCTGTAGCACATGGGAAAAGTTGTTGTGCCCAAATAAATGACGCGCAGCCTTGTAATTGACGAGCAAGATGTCCATAAGTGAATACGGGCTAGCTGAGCCTGCCGACCTCATGAGTAACCGGACGTTGTTGACGATCACCCCGCGAAAGGGTGCAACCAGTCTGGACACTTCTTCAGAAGTTGTGTTCGATCCTGCATTTTGATGCACAATTATGCGGTTGCAGCAGTAGTGCTGCACATTGCTGATCTGTTCCAGAAAATACAGAACGGAGTTCTCAGTGGTCGGGAGTCCGAGGCGAAGGCTAATCGGAATAGACGCTACGATGCCAAAAGACGTCTGCACGGCCGGGCCGCTCGCCGTTGCATTACTAGCCTCTTCGATCCCAAACCTCACCGTGGCTGGGGTCGGGCCACTTTGTCGCAGGCTAAGGCCCGCACTGCCCCGAGGTGGTGGACGTGTAGGTGGGGCGCTACTGGGTGCGTGCTGCAGAATGCAGGCCACGTCAGCCCGCGACCGGCAGATGATCCCGCGTCGCAGTATGGCGGGCATGCAGCACTCTGGAGGTCCCCCCGGGCGCCGAGAGCAGCCATGCCCGCCGCAGAGCCCGCATTTCGCACTGCAGCAGACCTGATTAGTCGGGTGCGGGACTCCAGCCTGGCAACCCCTGGCATCTACGCCAGCAATCCTGGCAGAGCCCAGCACCGCCGCACGTTGGATGGTGACATTGAGGCTCAAGCGGTAGGGTTCCGGCAGTGATCCTTCCCGTGGCGAGCGAGATGGTCGCCTCTGTTCGACACGTGCTCTAAAGCCAACCGATCTGGACAGCTCAGCGCGAACTGTCTCGAGCTCCCGCTCAAGCGACAACATGCATCAGCTCACCGTGCAGGCGCCAAGTTTCGAGCTTACAGGCCAAGACACGCTCTGAACATCATCCGCAAAACTCCACCATAAAGAATAGGTAGGTAGGTAGAAAGGTGAAGAACAGCCAGGCTCGGACTGGACACCAACGCGGTATGGGTGGACGCGGGACAGATGATGACGACACGCATTTTATTACAACAAGGATACCCATCACTGAGCCGACAATGCTATGGGTAGCCCCAGGGTGGCGCCCACCCCCATACCCTCAGGCACTTGCCTGCGCCCTGCCCGCGCACGCCGCGCACGCGCGCGCACGCCCGCGCACGCCGCGCACGCGCGTGCACGCCCGCGCACGTGCGCGCACCGCACGTGCGCGCACGCCCCGCGCACGCCCGCGCACGCCCGCGCACGCCCGCGCACGCCCGCGCACGCCCGCGCACGTCCGCGCACGCCGCACTACGCGGCACTGCCCAGGTTCCCTCACGCTCAGATTCCCTCACACTCAGATTCCCTCACGCTCAGATTCCGTGCAAGGGGGTGCCGAGGTATGCCGCAGGCCGGGATGGAGTGAGATCTTGCGGGGCAGGGCGTGGGCTAGTGCGCGAGGGCGCAGGCAAGTGCCCGAGGGCATGGGGGTGGGCGCCACCCTGGGGCTACCCGTAGCATTGTCGGCTCAGTGATGGGTATCCCAAAACTCCCTAGCATAAAGAAATTCTGCGCGCATGTTTCTGGCGGCATGAGCGGCGCCATCCTCCCTACCCGCCTCGCCGACCTGGCTCGGGGCGACCTGGCCTGGCTGCGCGCCTTCCTCTCCGGGCAGGGGACGCGCGGCACGTCGCTCGCGGCCCAGCTCGACGCGCGGCAAAACACCGTCACGCAGGACACGCTGCTCACCTGGGCCGCTCGTCACGGGCAGGCCGAGGCGGCGCGGCTGCTGCTCGAGGGCGGCGCGAGCGTCGGGGCGACGACTGGCGGCGGCGCTTCCGCGCTGTATACCGCGTGCCAGCAGGGGCAGATTGAGTGCGCCCGGCTGCTCCTCGAGGCTGGCGCGGCGACCGATCACGCAGACGCTGAAGGCTTCACGCCGCTGTACGCCGCGAGCTTCAACGGCGATATCGAATGCGTTCGGCTGCTTCTCGAGGCGAGCGCGGCGGTCAACCACGCCAAGGACGGCGGCGCCACGCCGCTGATCATCGCGTGCCACAAGGGCCACCTCGAGATCGCCCGGCTGCTGCGCGACGCTGGCGCGGCCGTCAACCAGGCCGAGGAGAGCGGCGTCACGCCACTGCTCGTTGCGAGCCAGGAAGGCCAGCTTGAGTGCGTCCGGCTGCTCCTCGAGGCTGGCGCGGCGATCGACCAGGCCGATGAGCAGGGCGCCACGCCGCTGTTCCCTGCGTGCCAGAACGGGCACCTCGAGATCGCCCGGCTGCTCCTCGAGGCTGGCGCGGCGGTAAGCCAAGCCAGAAGCGACGGCGCCACGCCGCTGTTCGCGGCGTGCTACCAGGGCCACCTCGAGGTCGCCAAGCTCCTCTCCTCCTACGGCGCCTCCCGCGCCGCTACGCCCTTCGGCACGCCCGAGGAGGCCGCAAACCGCGAAGGCCACGCCGACCTCGCCGCCTGGCTGGTCGCCAGCCGCGGCTGGACGCCGCTCCAGCACCTCGAGGCGTGCCCGAGACTAGCGGCCGAAGGCGTGAGTGCATTGTCCTCACGCCCATTGCCCCTCTTCCGCAGGCGCTCACCGTCGAGCGTGCGCGGGCGCTGCTGCGCGGCGGCGCTGACCCGCTCGCCGGCGCGCCTTCTGCCCTCGAGCGGGCGCGCGTCCTCTGCTCGTGGGGCGAGTCGGATCCGACCGCTGCGGCCGTCGGTTCCACAGTCGTGATCCGCTCTCTCGTCTCGCGGCCCTCGATGAACGGCAAGGTCGGCGTCGTCGTCTCCGCCAACGCTTCGACGGGACGCTTCGGCGTGCGCGTGGCGGGCGAGGCCAAGGCACTCGCACTGAGGCGCGCAATGCAATGGTCTCTCCCCGACTCGCCGGATCCTCTCTTTGACACACCTCTGCCCTCCCTCAGGCCGGCCAACCTGCAGCCAGCGGCCGAGGCGGGGGAGGTGGGCAGGCTCATCCTCAAGGCGGCGGAGTGGTCGCCGCAGTCGCACGAGCTCTTCCCGGAGGCGGCTCGCAAGTGGGCGGTCGAGGTGATGCGGCTGGGCTACCTGATCGCCTGGGACGAGGAGCGCTTCGAGGGCCGCGAGGGAGCGGCTCCGGAGCTGGCGGACATCTGGCGCGGCTTTGTCCTGCCAAGGGTGGTGGTGCGATGACTCACTCGATCCGCACGGGGTTTTCAGTGAGAGGGCTAAACCCCCATTCTTGCCGTTGCCCCTGTGCGGTCGCGTCTCTTTGAGCTTTCCTTTCTTTTCTCTCGCCGTCGCCCCCGCGCGGTGGCGAGCACGAGCTGGAAGCGGTACGCGGTAACACGCGGTACGCGGTACGGCTCCTTTTTATTTGTGCGCGCGAGGGCTATGTTTGATGACGGACCTGCATTTCGGAAGTTTACGCGAACCTTCCCACACCTGTACCTGAAGAGAGGCGCGCGAACTCGAGGTCCAGGCTCCAGGGGACGCCCAAGAGCTCAGAGCCCTTGGTCAGGGCGGTGTCTCCTCGGGGTGGCGCAGCGGACACAGCTGCCTCGCCCTCGCCCTGCCCGCCCTCGCGGTCACCTGCCGGCGCCCGCCTCGCAGCGGCGCGTCTCGGGGTTGAAGAAGGTTCCTAGAAGGTTCCCAGAAGGCTCGCAGGAGGCTCCTAGAGGGCCCCTAGAAGGGTTGAAGGAGGTGCCGGCGTCGCAGCCGACGACCTGCCGCCGCCTCCGCGCCTTGCCGCCGCCGCCAGCTTGCCCTCCCACAAGCGACGGCCCCTGCGCGATGGCGCCGCTCGCGTCCACAAACGCCTGTTCACAGCTGCAGGCGTGAAGGGGCGCTGCTCACACCGCCGCAGGCAGGAGAGTAGGGCCGAGGGCGCCTCGCCGCCCTCCTCCGGCAGCCGGTTGGTGGCGATGGAGGGGGCGGCGCTGCCTCCGGGCAGCGCCCGCTTGCGCGCCTAGCCAAAGCAGAGTCAAGGAGGCGGCTCAGAGGCTGCTGACGCCGCCGCCGCCGCCCCCGCCGCGCTCGCCTCCGCCTCCCTTCCCGCGGCCTGGGCGGACGCGTCCCGGATCATCAGCCTCCCGCACGCGTCGTGGCACTTCTCGAGATGGCACTGCGCCTGGTGACTCACTGTCGACGGGTGGGGGACCACTCTTGCGTCGGCGGGCCTCGATGGCGCACTGCGCCAGATGTGCTTTGGAGCCGAGCGCCACGTAGATCCCTGTTCACCGCTGGAGGCGTGAAGAGACGCTGTTCACACCACGCTCTCCACACCTCAGCGCCACGTCGACTCCTCCGCCGCAATGCCGCGCCACGTTGTGGGTGAAGACGCTCTTAGACGCCTCGAGGCCGCCTAGAAAGAAAGCAGAAGCCCCGCTTCTGTGCCTAGACAGAACAGAAGACGCGCTTGACGCGCGAGGCCGGCTGGCGCGGGCACGGGTGACGGGGAATGATTGACTGTTCGAGACGGCGCTCTTGGACGCAGCGAGGCCGCGCAAAAAGGCCGACACAGCCATCTCGGGTGATCTCGGGCGATCTCGGGAGATCTCGGGAGATCTCGGGCGATCTCGGGCGATCTCGGGCGATCTCGGGTCATCTCGGGCGATCTCGGGCGATCTCGGGCGATCTCGGGTCATCTCGGGCGATCTCGGGCGATCTCGGGTCATCTCGGGTCATCTCGGGTCATCTCGGGTCATCTCGGGTCATCTCGCCGCCTTCGCTTGCGAGCGCCCCCCCGTTGACGGCCTTGCAGTTCCGCATCGCAACGTTCTGCAGCAGGATGCGGTCGAGGTATGGCCGAGGCACAGCCGAGGTCCAGCCGAAGTGTAGCCGAGGCACAGCCGAGGTCCAGCCGAGATGCAGCCGAGATGCAGCCGAGATGCAGCCGAAATATAGCCGAGGAACAGCCGAGATGCAGCCGAAGTATAGCCGAGGTCCAGCCGAGATACAGCCGAGGTGCAACCGAGAGAGAGCGCCTGCAGCACCAGCGCCCCAAGGCTGTTGACGCAGCCGCCGGCGCCCGCGCGCGCGTCGGCGTCCAGCAGCTGATCTGCGCTGCCTACGTGCCGGGTACACCCCCCCTCAGGGGCAGGAGAAGACGGTGTTGCGCAGAGCAGCGCGTGAATCTGCGGGAGGACGCGTGCGGCGTTGAGTACCGCGGAAACGGCCGAGTACGGCGGAGTGCGTGTCCTCTCGAGCGCTGGCAAGAGCGCGTCTTCCGCCTCTGGGCTCCGTGCTGCTAGATATGGGGGGGGGGGGACGGGGGAGATGCGGGCAGATCTTCCGCTTCTAGGCTGCGATGCCGCGCTCGAACTGGAGTGTGTTCAGGTGCACCTCTGAGCCGGCGCCTGTGCGCAGGAGATCGCAACCTCGGGAGCTGTTTGTGAGCTGTGAGCTGTGCATCCAGCAGCCCGGCCCCAGTAGTACGTACGGCCGGTGGCGGCGCGCCTCGTGTCGGCTCCCGAGCCAGTCGTGCGCAGCGAGTGTGTGGAGTGTGTGCGTGTGGCTCCGCGCTGGGAGAGGCGTGTAGCGCTGACTGGCTGCCTGTGCGGAGGATCTGAACAGCGCCTCCGCCGTCGAGAATTGTGCCGACGGGGCTGCTCAGCCCTGCGGCCTGCGAGAGATAGCCGAGGTATGGCCGAGAGACAGCCGAGGTATAGCCGAGAGATAGCCGAGATGTGCCGCCGCGGCGACTGCACACACCTTCTCTGCGCTGGCGGCGAGGTTCGGCTTCGTCGCGAGCTCGCCTCCGCCGACGATGCCTAGTTGTCGACTCTTGACTAATGATTGACTATTCATTCTCAACAGCCTCCGCCGACGATAGTTGCTCAGCTCCGAACTAACTCTCTCACAATGTAATTACTCATTATTGACGGCACGAGCTCGCCTCCGCCGGCGATGCCGCCTCCGTCGTCCGCCGAGCCGGCGTCGGGCTCCGGCGGAGGCGCCGAGCCGACGATCTGCAGCCGGCCCGTCGCCTCTGGCAGCGAGCTCTGCAAGCGGATTCTCCCGGCCGCCACGAGGACCGTGACCGAGGTGCTCGGGCTCATCGTGTTTGCGAGCTCGATCGCCGCGCGGAGCGTGCAGTCGTTGCGCCCGTCGAGGCTGGACGGCGGCGGCAGGCCCGCCGACTGGGCCCACGTCACCGCGACGCACGTGCCGCCCGCGTCGCCCACGCTGCCCGCTAAGATCAGCACGGCGCGCGACGAGGAGAGCTGCGTCAGACCAGAGGGCTGCAGCGTCACCGACTCGGCGCCAGCGCTCGCCGCGAGAGCCAGCACTAGCAGCGGCAGGCGGAGCGTGGCGCGAGTGAGCCGGGGTTGGCCTCTTCTCACGACTTCAGTCCTCGGCGGGCCTGTGCGGCTTGTGCTCGCGCTCGCTGCAGCCATGCAGTGCGGGGCAAGCGCCGTTTTGATGTGCAAGCGCCGACACACCAAGTTCACAGAAAAAGAATTCAACATTTCTCTCGCCGACACAGGTTCGACACATGACAAGGGAGAGAACGACGAGAGTGGGACGGCCGCGAGGTGGCATGAAGGTTGCAGCGAGAATCGGCAAGAGACTGCGAAAAGAGATAGGAAGAGGCAGACTCCCTAGGGTGGGCGACGGCTAGCGCATCACACTCCTCTCCTTAAAATCCCTGTGTGGTGGCGGCGTGCCGTCCTCCCATCCCTCCCTTGGGTTGTCTGTTTTCTTTCTTTCTTTTTTTAGGTTCGACACAGGTACCAAAAGGAGCACAGCAGACGGCAACCCCTTAGGCGCCGTCGAAGAGACCGGCCCACCTGGCCGGCCGCTCTTCCCCCCTCCCCTCGAAAGCGCGCTCAATCGCTCGCTCGTCGCACTCCACCCCCCGAGCCCACCTTGCCGCGCTGCGGGCCTCCCGCCGCCGGCCATCGCGGGACCGCCGCCCGCCGCCACCTCCCCCACTCCCCCGCGCCGCCCGCGCTGCCGCCGCCTCCGCGCGCTCTTCCGCCAGCAACCGCTCCCTCTGCGTCACCGCGATGGGCCCCTGGCGCATCCACGACAAGTCGCGGGCACGCCCTATCCAGGGGTTACTCGAATACGGCGCTCTCCCTCTGCGCAGCTCCGAGTAGTCGCCAAAGCCCCCCCCCAAATAGCCCAGAAAAAGAATTTTACCAGGTTTAGGAGGAATGTTGAATTTTCTAAAAATCGCGCGGCACAGAACGATGCATCATCGGTGGAGGTACAAGTCTCCGACACGAGAGTGGACCTGAGCAACGATATGAGTTATGACTTGGCGGCAAACGACGGAGTGGGTGGGCGTCAGAAGAGTCGTCCTTGCGGTTGCGCGAGGAGAGCTCAATATACTCGAGGGACCAAATATGCCGAGAGGATGGCAGAGTTGAGCCGAAAGGCAGGAGAAGCCGCGAGAGCAAGGAATCGGCAGGCGGCGGCGGCGTCGGAGTGATGAAAGCACACTCCGATGGTTTCCGCATATCCTCGCGCGTGAACAGGGCTCCAGGCCCCAAATGACGTGTGAGTGTTAGAGTTGTTTGGTATTGCTAAAAATCTCTCTCTCTCTCAGAGGTGAAAGAAGCAACATCAAAGAGCCTTGTCAAGACTCAAGAGAGAACTCCCTCTCCGCGCCCAGTGTCAGAAACCCCAATTCTTTGCCCAATGCGTCTGTGAGACAGAATTTTAAACACACACACACACACACACACACACACACACACACACACACACACACACACACACACACACACACACACACACACACACACACACACACACACACACACGTAACTTCTTTTCAGCGCGAATTCTTTTTTTCAGCGCTTCGACTGCACACGGCTTCATGACGGCTCGCACGCGCAACATTCTCAAGTACTGCGTGCTGACGGCATCGACCATCGGCCCGGGCAGCGTGGCGATGTGCGCAAAGGCGGGCGCCGACTACGGCCACCGGCTTGTCTGGTGCGTCGCCGTCGCCGTCGCCGTAGCGTGGTCGTTGCAGCACGCGGCGGGGAGGCTCACGATCGAGGGAAAGCGCTCGCTTGGGCAGGCTATCCGGGATCTCTCGCCCAGTGGCGCAAAGGCGGTTGCGAGGCATGCCCTCACCCTGTTTGTGCTCGCGGGGAGCGTGGCGTACGAGTGCAACATCTTCTCGGGCGTCGCGTCCGGCGTCGAGCTGCTGACGGACGAGAGCGCCATCCGGATCGCCTTCCTGTGGCTCAACGGGCCGCTCTGCTGCGCCCTCCTCCTCGCCGGGTCCACGGACGCCGTCTCGGCAGCGCTGGGCGTGGTGGCGTTCATGCTCGCCGTGCTCTTTGGCGCGGTCGTGGCGGCGTGTGGCCTGCAGCCTGGCTTCGTCAGCGGCCTGGTGCCCTCCTTCCCGCCCAAGTCGGTGCCCGACGCCCTGGGACTGATGGGCACGACGGCGGTGCCGCTCAACCTCCTGCTCGGCTCCGCCATCGCCAAGGGCGGCACTGTGGCGGCGATGCGCGAGGGCGTCGCCGCCGCGTCGCTGCTGACGGGTATCTTCTCTCGCTGCTCGTCCCTCTGGCCGCTGCCACCTCGCAGTCCGTTTTGAGCTCTGTTTCGTGTGCAGGCCTTCTCTCGCTGCTCATCCTCGCCGCCGGCGCAGAGGCGAGCCCGACGTTTGCCCCGGGCAATCTCGGGCAATCTCGGGCAATCTCGGGCAATCTCGGGCAATCTCGGGTAAGCTCGGGTATCTCTCGGGCAATCTAAAGGCGAGCCCGACGTTTGCTCCGGTGCACCTGGCGGACGAGACGGCGAGCTTCGAGCTCCGCCATTTGGCAGAAGTGCTGCAGCGCATCGGCGGCAGCGCCGGCGTCTCGTGCTTCGCGGTCGGGCTGTACGGCGCCGGAATCTCGTCGGCACTCACGGCGCCGCTCGGCTCGGCCCTCGCCGCGGCCGAGGAAACCGCTGCTCTCTCTCTTCACACGCCTGCAGGGTGTGAACAGGTGCCGCTCGGCTCGGCGCTCGCGGTGGAGGACTTGCTGGGCTGGAGGGCCACGCCGCAGCCTGGAGAGAAGAGAGGCGAGTCGAGCAAGGGTAGTAGAAGCACAGTAAGCAGCTCCTCCGCGCTCCAAGAACGGAACCCCTTCTCTCACGCCCAAGCGACCCAGGACGAGGCGTTGCTTAGATCCACACCCCCTAGGGACCGGGGCGAGGGAAGAGACTATCGTTACTATCGAGAGACAACTACTTACCGGCACACCGCCTATAGTATACTTAGACACACACACACACACACCGCTCACCCACGCGCACTGGGCCTTGCACTTTGAATGCCGTGGGGCTCCTGTCGTCAGACGTGGAGACGCGAGGGCTTCCCCCCCCCCCTTGCCCCACCACCTCGTGTGTGTGGAGAAGTTTACCTTACCTTACCTTACCTTACTATAGGCGCGTCGTGGGCGACGGGCGGCCGCGCGTGCCTGCAGTGCGCCATCGTCTTGCTCGGGATGGTACCGTCGCTGCTGCGGCTGCCGACGATGGGGGTGGTCCTCGGCTCGCCTCGCAACTCGGCTCCTAAAAAAGAAGTACTGTACGAGCGCGTGCTTCTCTGATAGGTGATCCTCGCCGCGCAGATCGTCAACGGGCGGCTGCTCCCCTCGTTCTGGTGTCCCTGCGCGCCCCGAGAAGACCCGCGAGACGACGCCCCGGGAGATTACGGGAGATTAGGCTCCTGCTCCCCTTCGTCTCGGCGAGCCTCGCTATCTGCCTCAACGACCGGGGCATCATGGGCGCCGCGCTTCCGGCGGCGGCGGGCCTCCTCCCGGCCCATTGCGCCGAGCCTGTTCGCCAATTAATACATGAATCGACTACCTCAGCAGGCGGGCCTCCTCCCGACCCTTGCGCCGAGCCTCGCCGCGTCCTTCTTCCTCGCGAGCATGGTCCTGTTTGGCCGGTCTGCAGACGACGGCGATTCGGACCTGGAGCAAGGGGAGGCGCCCCGCGAAGCCCGAGTAGTGCTGTATAGTAGAGTAGGCGCGACCTTCACTCCAGAAGACGTCTGGCACCTATCCCACGCCCCCAAGCGACTAGTGATAGAAGCCCCCCCCCCCCCCCCCCCCGCGCGCCCGAGCGCACGCGGAGGTGACTGTGTGTGTGGAGACACGCGCCTTGGGTTACCCCACCTCTCTTACTCACCTTAGGCCGTCACCTCCCTCGTCCCCGCCGCGGGGGCGACCGTCGCCGGCTTGGCCGCCGTCGCCGTGCTAGTGCGGCGCGCGCGCCGTGGGGCGTGGTGAGCACTAACGTACCCCACCAAAGTGGTGCCTTGATGCCTCGGACCCTCGATCGGACCCAATCCATGCGTAAAAGCTAGCAGCTGCGCAAAAAGAGAGCGTTAGTTGGCTGAAAGAAAGAGAGGCGAGGAGCCCGACCCCCCGAGCTCGTCGGTTGGTGAGAAAAGAAAGAAAGAGCTGGGCCATCGCGCCCGCGTGCCGTGTCGGCGTGCCGCGATGAGAGCGAGACCGATGTCCACACACACACACACAACACACACACCGCTCACCCACGCGCACTGGGGCCTTGCACTTTCAATGCCGTGGGGCTCCTGTCGTCTAGACGTGGAGACGCGAGGAAGGCCCGCCCCCTTGCCCCACCACCTCGTGTGTGTGGTGGAGAAGTTTACCTTATCCATTACCTTACCTTACCTTACCTTACCTTACATCCACAGCCAGTCCAGTGTCATGCACCCGGTGCGAGATAGAGCTCTAGGGGTGTGGATGCTGAGTTGACGGAAACGGGACGCGACCCACCTCGCCACAGACGGTCCCGCGCCTCGCCGCTACGGGGTGTGGAGGGTGAGTTGACCAGGGGTTGTGCGCTGGGCCCTCGGCTTGGGCACCGCTTGGTAGTTGGTCCCTTGCCCCCCGTTGCTAATCTCGCCGCGCTGGGGGCTCAAGGTGACGTCCGCGCCTCCTGCCACTCTCGAATCGTCCGGCGCAAGTTGTGGTTCGGGATCAAGATGCTATGCTCGAGCTCGCCGCCGGTCAGCGGGCTCGTCGACTTGGTCGCGAGCCAGCGCTCGATCGCCGACCGCTCATACGACTGCCCATCGGCCGCCACGACTGGCTCGACCATGACCTCGGTTGTGATCGGGCAGATGAAGTCGGCCGGCGGCTCCTCCTCCTCCTTCGCAACCGGCGCCTCTGCAGCCGACGGCGAGCCGCCCTCGGTCGCAGCGACAAGCGTCCGCTTCTCCACCACCGTACTCGCTGGAGCCGAGCAGGAGGGCCCGGCGCACAACCCCTGGTCAACTCACCCCCTCCACATCTCCCGTACGGCTCTCTGTGCATAGAAAACAACAGCGGCCGCGCGTCACCGACCTCTGTGAGCTGTGTATGCCCAGACATGCGCATCATAGCATCGTGCATATGGAGTTGTCGGAATGATACAACACAAGTCGTACAACGAGCTGCACAACAATACATCAAATCGTACAGATGGAGCATGACAAGCGACACAGGTGACGAAGAAGTTTGCCTTTTCAGGGAGACAGCGCTGCGCGACGGCGCTGCTGCAACGCTGAAGAGCTGCAGCATGCAACCCGTGTGTCGCAGGCCGCGCCTCCCACCCTGGTCGGAAGCGGCGAGGCAGCGGGGGCGTCCCGTCCCGGCCGGCGTCGCCTCGATCGGCAACGCCGCTTCGGCGTCCTGGGGGCTGCACGCCGCGAGGTGCGAAGGGGTGGTGGCTCCGCGTCTCCCTACCTAGAACAAGGGAGCACAAACGCGCGCGGGGCCCGTCGAAGGGCCTCAAAAGAGGACCGTGAGCGCGACGCCGAGAGGGATCAGCACGAGGCCCAGGACGAGGAGAGCCGAGGAGATAATGGAGAAGGGCGAGGCGCGCCGGTCGGGGAAGAGCTTGAAATAGGCCCAGCAGGGGAAAGCGAAGGCGATCGTCGAGCCGCACACGGACCCGATCAGGTCAACGACCTAGTTAATTAGTGCAAGGCATGGTGAGCTCCTCCCCACGCACACAATGGTGGTGTGGCTAGGGAGACCTCTCGCACATCAGTCCACGTCGTAAGACTAAGACTGGGTCGTGGTGGGGTGTGTGTGGGGCGGGGGGGGGAGAGGTCGTCTCGACCTTGCCGATGTCGTCCAGAACAAGCCCGATCAGGGTGGTGAAGGCGATGAAGCCGAGGGTGATCGCGACGCGGAGGCGCTGCGTCTCGAACTTGCTGCCGAACGAGTAGGTGCGCAGGCGGAGGAGCTCGCGCTGAATGCGGCTCCGGTCCTGCCGCGTCGCCAGCACACATCTCGGCGTCAGGGTCTTGAAGATACGGCAGCTCGTGTGCTACCTTAGCGTATTCGAGGCCGCGTGTGGCTATACGAGGGCTACGAACACAGCGCGAGCAGCGTTGAACGCGGTTCGTGAGATCCCACGTTTGCTGGCCAGAATACTTCGGACCCGCTTTCGCATCTAAGTGGCCCCGCTCCTCCGGGAGAGCCACGGACTTGCGGGTGAGGGACGACACCAGAGTCGTGTCCTTGGACTCAATCTCGCCGACGGACCCCGCCTAATACATGTATTAGTCAGGAGATCGCCGTCACCACACCTCAACAAGTGGTTGCCCTGTCCTCGCCGATTGACCCCGCCTGGGTGTGTATGTTAGGCAGGTGATCACCGTCGATGAGGTGTGTGGCGCCCCTGCACGCGCCGACGGACTCTTGCCTGGTCCTGCAGGCAGGCCACGTTCGGGCAGCAGCAGCGGCCAAAGGTGGCCAAGGCGGAGTCCATGGCGTTGCGCGTGGCTGCCACGGGCGCGGCGGGGTCAGGGGGGGGGGGGGGTCAGGGGGGGGGGGGGGGGGCCACAAGGCCCCCAAGGGTTTGGATGGGGCCCTAGGGGGGGGGGTGGGTGGGGGGGACAAGGGAAAAATGGTGTGGGCGGGGCCCCCCCCCCAAACCCCTTTTTGGGGTAGAAAAAAATGACACCAAGGTTCACCCCCACTCGGGCGATTCCAAAGGGCCCCTTTTCCCCCTTTGGCCCCCCCCTGGAGGGAAGGCCCTCCCCCTAAAAAAAGGGGGGCTCCCCCTGGCCCAAAAAAAGCCCCCCTTTTTTCCGATACCCCCCAACAATTTTTGACGCCCCCCCTTCCCCAAAGGTTTTGTACCCCCAAACGGGGAAAATCACGTAAAGGTTCTTCCCGAGCCCAAA